GGAGAGTCTCTGCCTCAAGTGGAGGAGTTCAAGTGTCGGAGTCTTGTTCTCAAGTGAGGGGAGGATGGAGCGTGAGACTGACAGGTGGACAGGTGCAGTGTGGGCAGATTGACAGGTGCAGCGTGGGCAGTGATGCGGTCACCGTATCAGATCGTTGTGGTGAAGAGGAGCTGAGTCTGGATTTAGCGTCAGTCTCCCTTCCTCCCCTCACCTCTGGTCATGACACGAAGGACCAGATCACTGGTACACCTCACTGTCCCTCCGGAGGAGCTGGAGGAAGTGTCTGGGGTGTAGGAAGTCTGGAAGTACCTGCTCAGACTGATGCCCCCGAGACTTGACCCCAGAGAAGAGGAAGAACATGGATGGATGGAGTTTACACACTTTAGAGCAGATTCATTAGTAGGAGGAGCAGCTAGAGACCTTAGCCTGGTCTGGTTCTAGTCCCTGGTCCTCGAGTCTGAGTCACGTTTGAGTCTGGAGTGTCATAATGCTCCCAGCACCTGACCACCTCCACAGTCAAAGTCAAACTCCACCAACACCATTTACAGTTTATATGGTCACATTTTTCTATAGCGCTTTTCCACCTTCAAGGCACTCAAAACGCTTAACAACAAGGAATCACTCACCCATTCACACACCAGTGTACACAGACACTGTGGGCAAGGTGGGTTAAGTGTCTTGCCCAAGGACACAATGACAGCATTCACCTGTGGGAGCTGGAATCACACTAGCCAACCTGTGGATCAGTGGATCTGACCGCTCAACCTGTGATGTTTTTTGTCGAGAGCAGGATTTAAACTGCCAACCTTCAGATCAGTGGGCGAATGCTCCACCAACTGAGCTACTGCCGCCCCTTTACACTGTACAGTTTACAGTCACATCATGGTTTTGCACTTCTAAAGGGGAACTGTTCATGGGCATGTTTGGGCTCCATGGACTCTGGCTCCAGTTCAGTTTGTGTGTAAAAGCATGACCCCCTCTCTGTGATCTTTGACCCCTCTCTCTGGACCTGCTGCTGTTAGGTTCCTCACTCTGTCCTGGGGTTTGAACTTCCAACATTTTGTCTCAAATCCAGATCTGAACATTAACAGTGTGACCTTCAGCAGCCTCGCTCCTGATTGGTTCTTTGGTTGCTATGATACTCGAGGTCAGAACTCCAGATATGGTCCTGGCTCGTGATTCGCCGCTGTACCTGCGACCTCCATGAGCTTCATTTGGAGCTGAACGCTGTGGTGACATCACACTTTTTCATTTATTCTATGTCCCCACGTTTCCAGTGGCTCCTGAGGCGGTGCTGACCTCCTCGCTGCCCCCTGGAGGCTCACAGAGGATCTTCACCTGCAGCGCCTTCAACTTCTTCCCCAGAAACATCTCCATCTCCTGGACCATCAACGAGGAACCCCCCTCCTCAGAGGTGTCCTCCTCCGACACTTTCCCCAACGGAGACTGGCTCTACCAGGCCCACAGCCAGCTCAGCTACGCCCCCAGGTGAGCCCCGCCCCCTCCTCCAGGTGAGCCCCTCCCACTCCCCAGGTGAGCCCCTCCCACTCCTCCAGGTGAGCCCCTCCTCCAGGTGAGCCCCCTCCCCAGGTGAGCCTCCTCCTCCAGGTGAGCCCCTCCCCCTCCAGTGAGCGAGCCCCTCCCACTCCTCCAGGTGAGCCTGCCCCACTCCCCAGGTGAGCCCTGCCCCCTCCTCCAGGTGAGCCCCTCTGCCTCCTCCAGGTGAGCCCCGCCCCCTCCTCCAGGTGAGCCCCTCCCACTCCTCCAGGTGAGCCCCGCCCCCTCCCTCAGGTGAGTCCCGCCCACAGCTCAGCTATGCCCCCAGGTGTGCTGAGTGTTTGTGGGCGGGGCTGAGTGCAGTTTGTGTTTCAGGTCTGGAGACAGAGTTTCCTGTTGGGTCGAACACGCCGCTCTCAAAGATGCTCTAGAGGTGCCCTGGGGTGAGTCTCCCTCTCCCCAGACGCTTCCTCTGTACTCCGTCTCCCCAGACGCCTCCTCTGTCCTCCCTCTCCCCAGATGCTTCCTCTGTCCTCCCTCTCCCCAGACGGCTCCTCTGCCCCCCCTCTCCCCAGACACTTCCTCTGACTTCTCCTCTTTTTTCAGAGCCGTTGTCTCACGGGGACAGAAACAAAATGGTCATGGGGATTTCAGGCTCAGTTCTGGGTCTGGTACTCGGTCTGAGTGGAATCCTGTACAACTGCAAGACCCGACCCGACTGTGAGTCCTGGTTCAGTCCTGGTTCAATCCTGGTTTAGACCTGGTTTAGACTTGGTTCAGTCCTGGTTCAGTCCTGGTTTAGACCTGGTTTAGTCCTGGTTTAGTCCTGGTTCAGTCCTGGTTTAGACCTGGTTTAGTCCTGGTTTAGTCCTGGTTCAGTCCTGGTTCAGTCCTGGTTTAGACCTGGTTTAGTCCTGGTTTAGTCCTGGTTTAGACCTGGTTTAGTCCTGGTTCACATTTGTTCTTTTGGTTCCAGGTTCCAGAGACTCTGGACTCTGATCTGAAGGTTGTTGGTTCAAATCTTCAGATCATTCACTGATTCCAGCTGATGTGTCCTTGGGCAAGACACTTCACCAGCCTCGTGTGTGTGTTTGTTTGTTTAAACATTTTATTGGTTTAAAATCAGGAAACACTTGTGTTCAGATTAAATGTGTTTATTTATGAAATGTGTTAAAATCATGTTATTTTAATCTTTTAAAATTTTTATTTTATTAATTAAACTTCATTAAAACATAAAAATGACAAAATGTCCCTGACCTTTGGTTCAAGTTTATCTAAGAAATATTTCACTACAACAAGAACTGTGAGACCTGGTTTAGTCCTGGTTTAGTCCTGGTTTAGACCTGATTATTTGGTTTATTCTCTGATTGGCTCAGGGCTCAGCAGGTGGGCGGAGCTGGTCTCTGATTGGCTCAGGGCTCGGGCAGGTGGTAGTCGGGGGCGTGGTTTCCCTCGCGGCGGCGTCCGAAGCAGCCGAGGATCACGTCGACCGCCGCCGCCACCGTGGACCTGAGCCCGCCCTCTGACTCCGCCCTCCACGGGTTCACCTCCACCAGGTCCACGGCCGAGAGAAGATCTGAGGGAAACAAGAGGAGGAGATTTAATTTGAGTTTAAATAATCCAACAACTGGGGCCACAGGGGTATTGACTGTGGTTGTGCTCTTAGGCAGCACACTTCCCCTACACTGCCTTGTACAGGTGTGAGTGTTTGTAGGTTTGTCTGCAGAGCGAGGGGGCGGGGCAGAGGGAGGGGGCGGGGCAGAGCGAGGGGGCGGGGCAGAGGGAGGGGCGGGGCAGAACATCTTTTGAAGTATGAAATGTCAGAGCCCAAACAAACTTTTTTCAAACACTTCACAACCTGGTTTGGTCCTGGTCCTGTCCTGTCCCTGGTCCTGGTCTGTCCTGGTCCTGGTCCTGGTCCTGGTCCTGGTTTGGTCCTGGTCCTGGTCTGGTCCTGGTCCTGGTCCTGGTCCTGGTCCTGGTCCTGGTCCTGGTCGGTCTGGTCAGTCCGGTCTGGTCCTGGTCCTGGTCTGGTGTCCTGTCTGGTCCTGGTCCTGGTCTGGTCCTGGTCTGTCCTGGTCCTGGTCCTGGTCCTGGTCCTGGTCCTGGTCCTGGTCCTGGTCCTGGTCCTGGTCCTGGTTTGGTCCTGGTCCTGGTCCTGGTCTGGTCCTGGTCCTGGTCTGTCCTGGTCTGGTCCTGGTCCTGGTCCTGGTCCTGGTCCTGGTCCTGGTCTGGTCCTGGTCTGGTCCTGGTCTGGGTCCTGGTCCTGGTCCTGGTCCTGGTCTGGTCCTGGTCTGGTCCTGGTCCTGGTCCTGGTCCTGGTCTGGTCCTGGTCCTGGTCCTGGTCCTGGTCTGGTCCTGGTCTGGTCCTGGTCCTGGTCCTGGTCCTGGTCCTGGTCTGGTCCTGGTCCTGGTCCTGGTCCTGGTCCTGGTCCTGGTCCTGGTCCTGGTCCTGGTCTGGTCCTGGTCCCTGGTCCTGGTCCCTGGTCCTGGTCCTGGTCCCTGGTCCTGGTCCTGGTCCTGGTCCTGGTCCTGGTCCTGGTCCTGGTCCTGGTCCTGGTCCTGGTCTGGTCCTGGTCCTGGTCCCTGGTCTGGTCCTGGTCTGGTCCTGGTCCTGGTCTGGTCCTGGTCCTGGTCCTGGTCCTGGTCCTGGTCCTGGTCCTGGTCCTGGTCCTGGTCCTGGTGTCCCTGGTCTGGTCCTGGTCTGGTCCTGGTCTGGTCTGGTCTGGTCCTGGTCCTGGTCTGGTCCTGGTCCTGGTCCTGGTCTGGTCTGGTCTGGTCCTGGTTGGTCTGGTCCTGGTCCTGGTCCTGGTCTGGTCCTGGTCTGTCTGGTCCTGGTCCTGGTCCTGGTCCTGGTCTGGTCTGTCTGGTCTGGTCCTGGTCTGGTCTGGTCTGGTCTGGTCCTGGTCTGGCTGGTCCTGGTCCTGGTCCTGGTCCTGGTCCTGGTCCTGGTCCTGGTCCCTGGTCCTGGTCCCTGGTCTGGTCTGGTCCCTGGTCCTGGTCCTGGTCCTGGTCTGGTCCTGGTCCTGGTCTGGTCCTGGTCCTGGTCCTGGTCTGGTCTGGTCTGGTCTGGTCCTGGTCCTGGTCCTGGTCTGGTCCCTGGTCTGGTCCTGGTCTGGGTCCTGGTCCTGGTCCTGGTCCTGGTCCTGGTCTGGTCCTGGTCCTGGTCCTGGTCCTGGTCTGGTCCTGGTCCTGGTCCTGTGTCCTGGTCTGGTCTGGTCCTGGTCCTGGTCCTGGTCTGGTCCTGGTCTGGTCTGGTCCTGGTCTGGTCTGGTCCTGGTCCTGGTCTGGTCCTGGTCCTGGTCCTGGTCCTGGTCCCTGGTCCTGGTCTGGTCCTGGTCTGGTCCTGGTCTGGTCCTGGTCTGGTCCTGGTCTGGTCCTGGTCCTGGTCCTGGTCCTGGTCCTGGTCCTGGTCCTGGTCCTGGTCTGGTCTGGTCCCTGGTCTGGTCCTGGTCCTGGTCTGGTCCTGGTCCCTGGTCCTGGTCCTGGTCCTGGTCCTGGTCCTGGTCCTGGTCCTGGTCTGGTCTGGTCCTGGTCCTCGGTCTGGTCTGGTCTGGTCCTGGTCCTGGTCCTGGTCTGGTCCCTGGTCCTGGTCTGGTCCTGGTCCTGGTCCTGGTCTGGCCTGGTCCTGGTCCCTGGTCTGGTCCTGGGTCTGGTCCTGGTCTGGCCTGGTCCTGGTCCTGGTCTGGTCTGGTCCTGTGGTCTGGTCCTGGTCTGGTCCTGGTCTGGTCCCTGGTCCTGGTCCTGGTCCTGGTCCTGGTCTGGTCCTGGTCTGCTGGTCCTGGTCCTGGTCCTGGTCTGGTCTGGTCTCTGGTCCTGGTCCTGGTCCTGGTCTGGTCCTGGTCTGGTCCTGGTCCTGGTCCTGGTCCTGGTCCTGGTCCTGGTCCTGGTCTGGTCTGGTCTGGTCCTGGTCTGGTCCTGGTCTGGTCCTGGTCCTGGTCCCTGGTCTGGTCCCTGGTCCTGGTCCTGGGTCCCTGGTCCTGGTCCTGGTCCTGGTCCTGGTCCTGGTCTGGTCCTGGTCCTGGTCCTGGTCTGGTCCTGGTCTGGTTCTGGTCTGGTTCTGGTCTGGTCCTGGTCCTGGTTCTGGTCCTGGTCCTGGTCCTGGTCCTGGTCCTGGTCCTGGTCCTGGTCCTGGTCCTGGTCCTGGTCTGGTCCTGGTCTGGTCTGGTCCTGGTCTGGTCCTGGTCTGGTTCTGGTCCTGGTCCTGGTCCTGGTTCTGGTCCTGGTTCTGGTCCTAGTCCTAGTCCTAGTCCTGGTCTCAGTCTCGGTCCTGGTCTCAGTCCTGGTCTGGTCCTGGTCCTGGTCCTGGTCCTGGTCCTGGTCTGGTTCTGGTCTGGTTCTGGTCTGGTCCTGGTCCTAGTCCTGGTCTCAGTCTTGGTCCTGGTCTCAGGCCTCAGTCGTGGTCCTGGTCCTGGTCTCAGTCCTGGTCCTGGTCCTGGTCCTGGTCCTGGTCCACCTGTGGTCTCCTCCCAGCAGCAGGGCGGTGTGTCCGTGGGTCTTGATCCGGTTCAGGGTCTGGGACAGGCGCTGGTTTGCGCTGCCGACGGCGAGAGGATTCTTCACGCCAAAAACCGGAGGATCCTCAGGAAAAACCTCGAAGTCCAGATCCCCGAAGTCCTGGACCGAGCAACCTGCAGAGGGAGGGCATCTGACACAATCTGACTCAATCTGAGGCACGCAGGACTTTCAGAAGGTTAGACCGACTTGAGTCCTGGTTTAGTCCTGGTTCAGTCCTGGTTTAGTCCTGGTTTAGTCCTGGTTCAGTCCTGGTTTAGTCCTGGTTTAGTCCTGGTTTAGTTCTGGTTTAGTTCTGGTTTAGTCCTGGTTTAGTCCTGGTTCAGTCCTGGTTTAGTTCTGGTTTAGTTCTGGTTTAGTCCTGGTTCAGTCCTGGTTTTAGTCCTGGTTTAGTCCTGGTTTAGTCCTGGTTTAGTCCTGGTTTAGTCCTGGTTTAGTTCTGGTTTAGTCCTGGTTTAGTCCTGGTTTAGTCCTGGTTTAGTCCTGGTTTAGTCCTGGTTTAGTCTGGTTTAGTTCTGGTTTAGTCCTGGTTCAGTCCTGGTTTTAGTCCTGGTTTAGTCCTGGTTTAGTTCTGGTTTAGTCCTGGTTTAGTCCTGGTTCAGTCCTGGTTTTAGTCCTGGTTTAGTTCTGGTTTAGTCCTGGTTTAGTTCTGGTTTTAGTCCTGGTTTAGTCCTGGTTTAGTTCTGGTTTAGACCTGGTTTAAACCTGGTTTAGTTCTGGTTTAGTCCTGTTTTAGTTCTGGTTTAGTTCTGGTTTAGTTCTGGTTTAGTTTCTGGTTTAGTCCTGGTTTAGTTTAGTCCTGGTTCAGTCCTGGTTTAGTTCTGGTTTAGTTCTGGTTTAGTCCTGGTTTAGTTCTGGTTTAGTCCTGGTTCAGTCCTGGTTTTAGTCCTGGTTTAGTCCTGGTTTAGTTCTGGTTTAGTCCTGGTTTAGTCCTGGTTTAGTCCTGGTTCAGTCCTGGTTTAGTCCTGGTTTAGTTCTGGTTTAGTCCTGGTTCAGTCCTGGTTTTAGTCCTGGTTTAGTCCTGGTTTAGTTCCTGGTTTAGTGGTTTAGTCCTGGTTTAGTCCTGGTTTAGTCCTGGTTTAGTCCTGGTTTTAGTCCTGGTTTAGTCCTGGTTTAGTTCTGGTTTTAGTCCTGGTTTAGTCCTGGTTTAGTTCTGGTTTAGACCTGGTTTAAACCTGGTTTAGTTCTGGTTTAGTCCTGTTTTAGTTCTGGTTTAGTTCTGGTTTAGTTCTGGTTTAGTCCTGGTTTAGTCCTGGTTTAGTTCTGGTTTAGTCCTGGTTCAGTCCTGGTTTTAGTCCTGGTTTAGTCCTGGTTTAGTCCTGGTTTAGTCCTGGTTCAGTCCTGGTTTAGTTCTGGTTTAGTTCTGGTTTAGTCCTGGTTTAGTTCTGGTTTAGTCCTGGTTCAGTCCTGGTTTTAGTCCTGGTTTAGTCCTGGTTTAGTCCTGGTTTAGTCCTGGTCTGGGTTCATGTTTGTTTAAACTCTTCGTTTCGTTTAAAGTCCAAACTCGAGTCAAACATTTGTGAGTCTGAGGCTCATTTACATCATCTGGATTTTATTTAATTATTCAAACCTCGTTAAAGTCGTTAAAGTCGTTAAACTCGTTAAAGTCGTTAAAGTCGTTAAACCCTCAGACCCGAGCGACGGATGTAACGATGTCCAAATCTCTCGGTTCGATATTTTCACGATACGTCTCATGATACGATATTTACTGTGATATTTTGCAGATGTTGATATATTTGTAGATGAGACACATTTGTAGTTTTAAAATACCAAGAAAAGATTTTGGTGTGAATTATTTCTGTCGTAATCCCAAGAATTCAAGTCTAAACATGTTTCTTCATGTTTGATCTGAAATGCATCATGGGAAATGTAGTTCTGATGTTTATAAACCTGCATTTAAACTAAGAGACTTGTGATTGGAAAGACTGTGACGTCCTGCGATCGTCGTCTTTATTGTGAGACGTTTGACGATATTTTGTTTTTTGTTCCGCCTCTAGAGGAACTACACAGACCATGATCCTTTGCTCCGTTTCAGCGCAGACGACAAGAAGAAAAAACAGTTCTGACACTTTTAACTCTGAGTTCTTTTCTTGTCAAGACATTTGAAGAGGAAAAAGAAGAAAATATCACAGTAAATCTGGTACGGTGAGTCTGTCGTGAAAATATCGTGACACGTGGATTTCGTTACGACTCTGAACATTTCATCTGTCGAAAGAAGAAAAATCTGCAGATGTTGGTGAAATATTTCAGTAAATATTTAATTTGACCCACGAATTTGTCCCAGATTTAAATTTTGACCCAAAGTGAATTTGAGTTTGAAACACTTGAAACACTGTGTCAGGACCGCACCTGACACACGGGACCGCACCTGTCACACGGGACCGCACCTGTCACATGGGGAGGAGGGCCCCTGACACACAGAGGGCCCCTGACACACAAGAGGGCCCCTTACACACAGGACCGCACCTGACACACAGGACCGCACCTGACACACAGGACCGCACCTGTCACATGGGGAGGAGGGCCCCTGACACACAGGAGGGCCCCTGACACACAGGAGGGCCCCTGACACACAGGAGGGCCCCTGACACACAGGAGGGCCCCTGACACACAGGAGGACATGTGTGTTGGGGGTTGGAGGTTCTGACCTTGAGCTCGGAGCAAATCCACGAGTCCAAACTCACGAATCCGAGACGGACCAAACTCCACCCCAGAACGAGGCTGAAACAGAACAGAGAACAGAGAACAGAGAACAGAGAACAGAGAGAACAGAGAGAACAGAGAGAACAGAGAGAACAGAGAGAACAGAGAACAGAGAGAACAGAGAACAGAGAGAACAGAGAGAACAGAGAGAACAGAGAGAACAGAGAGAACAGAGAGACAGAGAACAGAGAGAACAGAGAGAACAGAGAGAACAGAGAGAACAGAGAGAACAGAGAAAGAGAAGAAACAGAGAGAACAGAGAGAGAACAGAGAGAGAACAGAGAGAACAGAGAGAACAGAGAACAGAGAACAGAGAGAACAGAGAGAACAGAGAACAGAGAGAGAGACAGAGAACAGAGAGAACAGAGAACAGAGAGAACAGAGAGACAGAGAGACAGAGAGACACAGAGAACAGAGAAGAGAGAACAGAGAACAGAGAGACAGAGACAGAGAAACAGAGAAACAGAGAACAGAGAACAGAGAGAACAGAGAGAACAGAGAGAACAGAGAGAACAGAGAACAGAGAGAACAGAGAACACAGAGAACAGAGAGACAGAGAACAGAGACAGAACAGAGAACAGAGAGAGACAGAGAGAACAGAGAAAGAGAGAACAGAGAGAACAGAGAACAGAGAGAACAGAGACAGAGAACAGAGAGAACAGAGAAAGAGAGACAGAGAACAGAGAGAACAGAGAGAGACACAGAGAACAGAGAGAACAGAGAACAGAGAACAGAGAGAACAGAGAACAGAGAGAACAGAGACAGAGAACAGAGAGAACAGAGAACAGAGAGAACAGAGAACAGAGAGAACAGAGAGAACAGAGGACAGAGAGAACAGAGAACAGAGAGACAGAGAGAACAGAGAGAACAGAGAACAGAGAACAGAGAGAACAGAGAACAGAGAGAGACAGAGAGAGAGAACAGAGAACAGAGAACAGAGAGAACAGAGAGAACAGAGAACACAGAGAGAACAGAGAACAGAGAGGAGGAGGAGGAGGAGGAGAGTTTAGTTTATTCACAAACAGAGAAAGGAAAGAGAGGAGACAGGGACCGACAGGGACAGACAGGAGAGCACCTGCTGCACCGTGGCCCTGTCACGTGACTCACCTGTCCTTTGCTGAACGGGGCACCCACGAGCCCCACGGAGGGCGCGCGCGCGGGTCCGTGTAGCGCACGTGCGGGGGTCCCGGGGCGCACGAGCCTCTGCAGGCTCCTCGCGCTCCTCATCCTGTCCGCGTAACTGTGTCTGCGCGTGTGTGCGTGTGCGCGTGTGTGCGTGTGCGTGTGTGCGTGTGCGAGGTGAGTGACCGGGAGCGCGAGCCCTGATAAAGTCCAGCGAGGGGGCGGCGTCATGACGTCACCACGGTCACTCATTCAACAGAACAAAAATAAAACATGACGTGTCTCCATGACAACAGTCAATCTGTCATAATGTGCACCTGAAGACCTGGACTAGACCTGGACTAGACCTAGTTAAGACCTGGTTTAGTCCTGGTCTAGACCTGGTTTAGACCTGGTTTAGTCCTGGTCTAGACCTGGTTTAGACCTGGTTTAGTCCTGGTCTAGACCTGGTTTAGACCTGGTCTAGACCTGGTTTATTGTTGATCAGGTGAATTCTCTGTATAATCAGATTCTCAGGTTCTTCACAGTTCTCTTCTCAGCGTCTCAGTGTTCCTCAGGGTTCTTCAGGTTCTTTAGGTTCTTTCAGGGTTCCTCAGGGTTCCTCGGGGCCACAGTTGCCCCGAGGCAGACGGGCAGAAGAGTGGCTGCCCCTCCCTCCTCCAGAACAGGGAGGAACAGGGGATATATAAATATATATATATATATATATAATAATCCTTATTACATTTTGGCTGGCTAACATCAGCTTATTCATTAAATACTCCAAAACATACAGAACTATGAACTATGTTGATTTTCACTGCTTAAATGTATTACATTCCTCAATATTTTGGGAAATATGGGCAGTATAACGTATATATATATATATATATATATATATATATATATATATATATATATATATATATATATATATATATATATATATATATATATATATATATATATAATAAACGTGCATGTGTGCGGTGTTTCATACCAAAAGAGCAAAAAACAAAGGGCCACCTTCTGCATTGACTGACATTACAGACTACAGGTCTAGAGACTGGGGTTCATGCATGTTTATTCTCTCACCTTTTATGACCATTCAACAAAACACATTTAATGCTTTTTAATGCCATTAACAGAAAAGGAAGATATTTAAAGGTGCACTGTTTTCTGGTGGAGGGTCCATCAAATGCTTTTCTCAATGGAAATGTTAGTTTCTCTGAAGTGTTTCACAGTATCATATTCAACCTTTATATTTTCATGGACATCAAACTACGCCAAGTTACAGGTCAGATCTGTAGAGAGGAGACCTGCTTACTATCAGAAAGCCCGTTTATTTATTTATTGGGTCAAACTATCTAATTGAATAAATGTAAGGTAGCTCTGTTTAATGTCATACTGTGTAACATTTTACAGGCAAAGCAATGACGTCCATAGAAACAACACATAATGGACCCTGTACATGAAAACTTGCAGTGCACTTTTTTTTTTTCAAATCTTTCCTGCGTGTGTAATTCTAAGCCCAGTATTGAATCATTCTTCACCAACACATTCCACACCACTCATGCTGAAAAATACATTCCAATTAAATGTTAGATATTCTGTCAACATGTGATAATGTGCATTTTCTTTGTAAATGTTTTATTTTTAAGCCATTATCTGAAATATTGTTACATACACCCTTATAAATATATTTTCTATTAAATAAACAGAAACAAGTTGCAGTCAAGAGATTTTATTTAATTTACCAGTTCCAAATAAACTTCACTATGACCATTTACAATGTTAAAATAAAAAGACCATTGGGCAACTGAAAACAGTTGGACACAATGATGAACACATCTTTTGCAATTCAGTCTTTACATATAATAGCGAGCAAACCTAAAACATAACCAACTTTTATCATAAATTAATTACACTTTACAAATATTATGTAAAAATGTTATTGTCAGTACATAAATAAAAATAATTTAGCACAGATGTTATTACTGAAAAGGAAATTATAAGCATCTCCTGTCCCGGGATGGGATGGCAGGAGAGAGGGAGAGGAGGGGGGGGGGGAGCTGGGAGGGAGAGGAAAAACAGAGAGAACCAGTCTTGGACAAAGGACAAAAGACATTTGAGCACAAAAACACACAGTATGTGTGCACTCATCACTGTATGATAATATTAACTACAAATACATATGTACATAAACTAACACAAACATGTAGAAGTGCCAGAAACAACCAACACAGACTTAAAAACTCTATAAATACATATGTAAATAACCAACACATACTTAAAAACACTATAAATACATATGTAAATAACCAACACATACTTAAAAACACTATAAATACCCGCCTGTTAATTTATACATAAATAACAAACAAACAAAAAAAAACTATGACCACATGATTAAAAATGACGCAACACGCGCATATAAATGTGATGAGTCGTCAATAAGCAACAACTGTCCATTTCAAACAAAACTAAAATAGTTCTCCTACATTTATTCTAAAGGCACTGATTCACTTAGATTCATTTAGCCTTAAGAGAAAATGTGATCCCTTCATGGTCGCTGAAGTACGTTGGCACTACTACAGACTCTATGATTTTACATATAAATGATCAATTAAAGTCCCCTTCTCAGTTGTGGGAGATTTGACATATTGAACAAAACCTCTTTCTGTCATAAAATTGCAGAGACTTGAAGATTTCAATATGTCGTCATTCAAATCTCCCATCACCACCACAGTGGCACAATATGAATCTAGCCAATTCAATAACCTGTTCAAATTATACTTAAACAGAGACATGGGGTATGACGGTGGACGATAAACTGCTGCAACTATAATTTTGTGCTCTGCAAAATAATTAACTAAACATTCTAAACTGAAATCCTGTAGTGTGATTTCATAGTTAAAGGTTGTATGGAGGATTTTTTTGGTTTCAAATTGTCAATGATTAATGATAATGAGCATTATAGATGCAGTCGCCTTGTAATTATGATGACCAAAAAAAAGAGAATAAAAATTCATCAACTCTGGACGTGGTGGGGCTAAACATTTGCCAATAGATAACGACACTGCCTCGTTATCTGTGAGCTGACAGGCTGTCAATCAAACTCCCTACGTTTCTAGTGTAACTGACTCTTCTGCGCTGCCGTTACGTGGTTTACGTACGACTGTCACACAGTCCACAGACGCAAGACGCACAGACGCTGTTTACTCCACCAACGCAACAGTTCTTAGCGGCTTTTTTGACCTATATCTTCCTCGCAGTTCACACAAAGTTTGTTGCGATGGCGACAAGAATCCAGGAGCAGTTCACCGCAAAAGAAAGTCTGTTTTTGAGGTGAAAGAAGAAGACAAGGGGAAAAGCAGCGAAGCCAAACTAAGGTGATTCTTGGAGATTCATTCCAGCGATGGTGCGACTGAAGCAGACGCAGGGTCTAAAGACTGAACCACTGGTCCACAAATGACTCCTGGACAGGAAACTTCTGCTTATTATGAAAACGTACTTTATTTCCAAGAGTTAGACAAACGTTTTTCAGGACACGAATGCGATATCCTATGTCTGAAAACGTCATTTTCAAGGCAAAGAAAGAGTCCGCTTGCTGCTGCGTGTTGTAGTTAGTTCATTCGCACTGAATCTCCGCGCAACCTTCTCTGCTCCCCTTTCCTGCTCCTCTCCCCGCTGCCCGATCTGCTCTTCCCCCTGCTCCTCACTTCTCCGGGCACGGAATCTCTGCGCACCCCCTCCCCTCTCCTCTCTTCCCTCTCCTCTCTCCTCTCCTCTCCTCTCCTCTCTCCCTGCTCCTCACTTCTCGTCCGCGAACGAAATGTCCGCACACCCGCTCCCCCCGCTCCTCACTTCTCCGTCTTGTCTAACCAACACTGTAGTTAGTTGTTTACAAGTCATGTGCAGCGGCTGTAAACAAACCTGTTTCTGGCGTAAAGAGGAGGCGGGAGGAGGTGTTTCTCCGTAGGAGCTGTAGGGGAGGGGGGGTAGTTTCACGCAGGAGCAACATTTGAAAAAGGACAAACAGTCGCTGGATTTCTCGTTCCTTGGAAAATCCTCTATACAACCTTTAAGGTTTTCTTCACAGTACATGCCAACACCACCGTGCTGTTGGCCCAGTAAACTAGTCAGAACTGGGTGATGAGTCTGCTGATAGGATAAACTACGGGGACGACTATGGAAATTATAACCTTCAATATGACTAGTTTGAAAAGTTGAATCTAAATTTAACCATGTCTCTACCACAGCAATACAGTTAGGCTGCCAGTGCTGTGTGCATAAAGCCAAATCTGACACATGTCGTGCTAAACCATGAACATTCATAAAAAAGAATGTTAAGACATGTGCCTCTTGTAAGTGCCAGGGCGTACTCGCCACCATGAAGGGAGGCATGTTCTCAGTCGCCGCTCTAATACCATCATTACAATAAATAGCATTTTCATTAAAGTCTTGAATAATAAGACCATCTAAACTCCTAACGCGACTAAGGGCCACATACGCCTGACCTGCTGTAAAAACGTGTTTAAGGGACACCACTGCTCGATCTACGGTTACGCCCTGTACTTTATGAACCGTACACGCCCACGCGAGTTTAAGTGGAAACTGACGACGCTTCTCCCCTCGTTTATTCGCTTGTTCTTCTTCTGGTTCTATGCGGGTAGAACCACTCAGGTCTGCAGGGGTACGTGTTTGCCTCCTCCTCTGTGCACCTACTCGATCATCGTCAAATTTAACATAAATTGGTAAAGGAGGCAGTTTTTTCTCTGCATTTTCAACTATGTATGTAACTATACCACATACCCCATTTACTAGACCGTCAGCCAAATCTACATTTTTACAAAGCATAACACGTGCATTTACACCTAAAACTAATGTCTCCTCCAAACAGGCTAGTTTGGATTTACGGAGATGACCTTTTATTTCTGTTAACTTACCAGCGTTTTTGTCGTATCCAAAATCACGCGCACTAATTGTAATGATTTCTGGACATACTTTATTCAGTATCTTTAAATTATAATTTGTAACAAAGCTATTTTTTGTAAAAATATGTAATACGTCTGGATCCTCGCCTGTTTCACATTGTTTTAATATATCTACATCGTTATCAAGCAGCGGTGTCTCTCTTGAGCGACATCGCTCGAAGTCGGTTCAGTAGCTCTGAAAAAGTGT